AATTTTGCCTTTGTTTTGCAGGTCCCTTTTCTGCCTGTTCTTCCAATCCTGAGCATCTTTGTGAATGTTTATCTCATGATGCAGCTGGATTGTGGCACCTGGATACGATTTGCCATCTGGATGGTCATAGGTAAATTTCAACTGTGTTATATGATGACATTTTTGTTCACATAGGCCAGACATGTCAAACTCGCGATGTCACGTGACGTCGCACAACATATCGGGACGGTTTTGCCATTGCCGTCAATGGGGTGGGCGCGGCTTCTGGATGATGCATCCGGCCCGCGGGCTGACAGTTTGACACCCCTGACACAGGCAGATTACTGAACCACAAGTTTTGAAAATTGAAGTGGACTTCAGATACTTTACCCTTGTGGTCAGAAGACTTAAAGCTACAACGGAGTAATCTTCCATATAGTATGAGATTCCAAGGATTAAAAAGAAAAAGATTAAAACCAAGCATTTTAATAAGCATGTCAACCCAGGCAGCTAATAAGAAACTGTGTTTTAGGTTTTGTCTAAAACAAAACAAACCCAGATTCACACACATTTAAGACCTGGGAGTAGCCTTTAATTACTCTGATTAAATCTTTTAAATCATCTCCAGGAATAGGCCCATGCAAGGTATGTTATGACAATGAAGCTTGTAAATATTGAAAGCAAGGGAGAAATATGGCAAGATCTGATCTGTGCAGAATTAAAATAGATTTCCCTGTTTTTTGGTAGAAAGTAGTCTGCAAAATACCTCTGATTTGCTTCTCAAGTCAGAGATAAACTTGATAGAGATAGAGTCTCTAGAAAAATCAACAGTCCCCCTCAGTGATACTGCACTACTTCTAAAGGAAGTATATAGTCAAGACCTTTGATGTTCCACAAGAGCATCATCTCATTTTGTATTGTATTCCTTACAGGCAGAGATTCATAAACTGATACATCCTACTGTATGTGCTGCCACATGTTTCCTAATGCTATTCCATTTTCCTCTTTCCTCCAGGCCTGGTTATATATTTTGGCTATGGCATATGGCACAGCGTAGAGGCATCTTATTCAGCACCAACGGATCAAGAAAGAAGTACGGATAACAATATGGACACTTGTAAATGACATCCTTCTTGTTCAGGAGGGTATTGAGAGCTATTACTGCACAGCAGGATACTTCTCTCCGGGATTCTGAAAGAACTTTTTTTTTTTTTTGTAGAATATCAGGTGGGCTCTCATGTCCCCTTTAACATGGGGATGCAGCTGGGAGGGATCACAAGGAAAAAAAATACCTAGCCTCTGACGCACTCCCAACAATACTGTTACTTCTTGCTGACAGCTGTTTCTCTTCTTTACTCTTTGAATAGAAGGTGCTAGTTTACTTCCAATGTTACTGTGAGAATAAGATTCTCAGGCTTGTGAATTAATTCCTGGCTACTGGAATGGAGCACACTCTATACTGTTTCTCCAATATTCACCTATATTGCAGCACCAGAACTAAACTAAAACAGAACCAAACCAAACCATACATAAACCCTCTTACATGTTTATAAAACTGTATCCACTTCCCAAGACTGGAATGAAAAGAAAGGGAGTGGTGCTATTTAAACATTGTGCTTAACGTATTTAAAGAGGGGTGATGCCTGAGTTTTGGCATCCAACATTACAACAATTTCCTTTAGCAAATGTGGACAAACCAGGCTTCCCCCCGGAGGCTTCTGTGCAACCTGTAGCTGAATTCCTCTCCTGTGCTTCAAACAGCTGTGTAGATACGAAGCAAGAGTCTGTTGCTTATGATAGAACTGCTGTGTAAAAAGTATGACTTTCAGGTATGCAGATCTGCCAAATCAAAGGCAATTGCTTGGTTGGGATGTTTACATTTCAGATCAGACAGTCCTGGTCAAAGGCAGCCTTTCCCATGCTTGTATTTCAACATAATATTGTGATGTAGCTCACTGATATGCCCTGTAGCTGAGAAAAGGCAAGAGTTTCCTGTAATAAAGATGGAATTAATAAAGGAGAATATTTGTAGCTCAGGGTTGACGTGAGGGGTCCTTGGTGCTCTCTGAGCTTGCTTGTTTTCTTGCAGACGTTTCGTTGCCCAAACTAGGTAACATCATCAGTGCGAGTCTAGTCTACGTTACCTAGTTTGGGTAATGAAACATCTGCAAGAAAACAAGCAAGCAGAGCACCATGGACCCCTCAAAGATGGAATTGGACACAGGGTTCTTGGGTCAACCTCCACCATTGTCTTTACTGTTACGTTTGAAATAATATATTTAAAGTTAATATTTTATTGAAGGAAGGTTGTGACAAATAACAGCTTTTCTAGTGCAGAGTAGGAGCTAGTCTTAGGTTTTGCCTGTAATATTTGGGACTATAGAATGCATGTTTCTCACCATATCCTGTTAGGGCTGACTTTTCCAAATAGGCCATCAGATTTAAAATTAAAACTGTGTTATTTCCTCTGTTAGGCATAGATGGGACAGAGGAAATCATAGAAGTATCTATGCAGAGGGAGAATCATCTTCTAAAAATGTGGTTTTTCCAAAGGGAGGGTAAAAGTCTGTACACCCATAAAATAATATTGACGCTTGCTGTTTTGATATTCTAGTAAATAGTGTAGATTATTGTACTTTTTTCTTTTACACTGTTAACCTCAGAGGCTTGAATTTATTATTACTTGTTCGTGGTATTTATGTCTAGCCCCATGATGTGTTATATTTGAGCAAGCTATATGGAAAAGAATAGCACTTACAAGAAAGGGAAATCATTTTGTAGTGGGATTGTGCTTATTTTGTGTGAGAAAATTTAGAAGGGGGGTTATTTATTTATGGCACTCCCTATGTTTTGTCCAGGTTGCACCCTAGTGATAATGTTATTAGATGTGAATGTTGACTCAAAGTTTTCCTGTCACCATGGTGATTGCTGAGAATTTTAGTGGTTACATCTACCTGTCTGGAAGGTTAGACAGAGCTTCTGCAGACAGTGTTGACCCAGCTGGACCCATAACTTGATACAAGGCAGTTTAATGTATTTATTTGGTACTTCAGCAACTTCCATTTGCCATCACAAAAGTCTGTGAAGGCTACAATTACAATTAAGAGGGTGTTCTTTTTAAAGGGCCTCAGCATTGAATAATTGAGAAATGCACAACTTACTTTGAACCAGCCAGACCTTCCTCGGGCAAATTGGCTAGGCTGCTCAAGGTGATTTGGAAAGCCCTTGGAGCTGGCTAGAAAATGTTCCTTTCAGATAAAATGTATATGTGACTTGAAAATACCTAGAACTTGTTTTTGAGTTCTTCTGGATGGAGTCCCATTACATCATGTATCCTTGTTTTAGAGCAGTGTTTCTCAACCTTGACAATTTTAAGGCACGTGGACTTCAACTCCCAGAATTCCACAGCCAGCATTGGAATTCTGGGAATTGAAGTCCACGTGCCTTAAAATTGTCAAGGTTGAGAAACACTGTTTTAGAGTCTGTGAGGAGTGAGATGGAGCTTGTTTTGAACGCTTTCATTTTTAGCTGAATCAGCCTTCCTTTGTAGATTGTTTCATACATGGCAAAAGTCCTTTGCAGAAATCTCTTCTGTATGGTCCCATTTCATATCATCCATGCTGATTTCAACCTTTTACTCACATATAATTTAGTGTGGTTGAATTGCAGTGTTTAGTCTAATTCAGTTTTAAACTTAACCAGGTAGACTTGGCTTAATGATCACAATTGGGACTGGAATTTCAGCCACCAAATGCTGCGATCATTAAACAAGTCAGCATGTGACTGGATCTGATTTTATAACCATTTTTACCCTGGTTGTTAAATGAATTATGCAATCATCAAGCAAATTTGGCGTCCCCTATTGACTTTACTTGTGGGAAGCTGGTTGGGAAGGTTGCAAATTGTGATCATGTGACCACAGAACGCTGGAATTGTCATAATTGTGATCCAGTTGCCAAGCGCCCAAATCATGATCACATGACTGTGGGGCTGGTGCAAGAGTTGTAACTTGGAGGGCAAGTCATAAATTACTTTTTTCAGTGCCACTATTAATTTGAACCATCATTAAATGGATGATTGTAAGTTAAGGACTACCTGTACTAGGGAAAATACTATTAGAAAAAGCCCTAAACATTGAGCATCATGTTTGGTTCTGTATGATGCATGCAGTAAAAAGCTGTTCCTTTTCAGATGTGGCATTTATGGAAATGATTTTGGAAGAAAATTCTGTCACACGCAAAGGAACCTTTAAAACAGTTTTTCACACATACATCACATCACTAGTGGAAAAGATCACATATTAACGAAAGCAGTCTCCTAGGATAATGGCTCTCACCTTCAACTGTCACTTCCCACGGTGCAGGGAATTTTGAGAGCTGAAGTCCACTACTTCCAAATGACATCAGGATGAGAGACATCCTGTAATTCTGAGTTAGGTTGATGCATATCCAAGACTTGCATAAGTTTTGCTTTTCCTCTCACTTGAGATTCAACAACAGGAGATGTTAGGCCTGAAGAAAGTTTTCTGGGAGAAAGACTTTCAGAGAGCTTCTTGTGGGATATTCTCATTATTACTAATTGCTTTTGTCTCTATGGAGATGTTTATAGCTCCTGGTGGTATTCAGAGACTAAGACAGGGAGGGAGTAGGGAGCAACCCTAGACTTGTAAATATAAACCCCCCCAAACAGGGACCTTCCTTGCTTCCAGAACTAAAACCTAAATGGAGAAACATAAAAAAGCTTGAGGTCTAATGGTGAAAACCTAAATGTTGCTGCTATAAGTTTGCTAGAGTAAAGAATAGACTGCCATTTATTTGAGGTCATCTTTGTAAATATATGAATAACTATTATTATTTTAATATTAGGATCGTTTTGTATAGCTGCTGGACGCTTTGTATAAAATCCTATTCTATAGTGTTTCTAAAATCACACGGCTCCCTCAAAGAAAATGTACAGTTTTTCTTCATAAGAAGGGATTATCAATAATTGTGGCTTTTGAATCTAAGGAAGTCACTACTACTTTCAGGAATTGCTTGCTTTAAAATCCTATTAGGTTTTTATTAACCTAAAGCCAAATTTGCACACTCAGTGTATGCAGAAGTAGAAAAAAAGTGACTTTTGATAACATATTCTTCAAATGTATTTGAATTACATGTCTCAAAATTATCATAGTATTCTGAGATTTTTAATTCTCCATACCTGGACGATATCTAATTGGGAATAAGTGTTGCTTCCTTAATGCATGGGATAAACATGCGCAACAAATTGATAATTTCTACTTGATCAAACCATTGCCATAAAAGTCAGTTTTACTAAGTCAAATTTATGCAGATTAATCTCCAAATTAATTCCAGTTACAACTCCAGCTTTTCAAGAGCAACAAATTGCTTGCTCATCAGTTCCTTCCAAAACCAATAGCAGTTATCAGTAATCTGGTAGTACCTTTTTCAACTACATTTTTTTATTAAAAGGTAGCTTTCAGTGTGTTAGAAAAAGTGCTACCAGACCTTTTTTTGTTGCTGCTATGGACTCGCATGCCTATTCTCTTACAATGCCATTTATATAAATATATAAATTCTTACACATTTGAAAGTCTTGTATTGTGAACTTAGTGAATCTTGTATTACAATCTGTTTTGTTAATATTTTCAATTGTTAAAATTTTACAATTGTCTTCAAAATATTTAACTTTGTATATTTTGTACATTTTTTCTGCCTTTTATGTTTGGTTGTCATCTTTTCTTCTCCATATCTACTTTTACCCAATGCGTTGACAAATGGGAGATGTCTCACCAGTGTTCAGCAAGCATTAAACATTTTAACCTAGTCAGTAAAAACAACAATTTTCAGGTTTCTATTTTTATTTTCATCAGTTCTATTAATCCTCATGTACTTAATGGAATCACGCTACAAACACTGGATCATAGAATAGTCTGATAAAGTGAAGATTTTTAATTCCTTTTCTTTAAGCCATTTTTTAAAAGAAATACTTTATTAAATATGTTTTTATCAGTTAGTGAATAGATAATTATCAATAGGAGGAAGCAGACTATAAGTGGAATCAATATGTTTTCAAGGGTGTTTAAGCAGAAGCCAGTTCAAATATAAGCATTAATAGAATTTGTAGGACCAGTTTCCATATTACCTTCATTGTTTTAACACTACTGCAGACTGGTTGAATATCCTTTATATGCCACAGCTTGAATGTGTATGTGAAACTTTGTAAGCCCATTATCTTATTGGGAGGTAGAGGGGAGAAAAGATTATGTATGTGTCCGACTTTCCTGTTAAACAGCTCCTCGTCACTTTTTGTCTCTTTCATACAGAGCCTGCACAGCATGAGCAAATGGTTGTGGAAGGAACTGTTTGTTCTCTGTCATCCACATGTACTAGATTTCTCTTCTAATAAGGGATTTGTACATTAAAGCCTGCTTCCCTAGATGAGTGCCATATTAGGCAAGGTCAAAATGCTTTGTGTATATGATGCTATCTCGTTTAATTGCTGATTGCATTCTGTTGCCTTTCAGTATGTATCTCTGATTTTATTATATGATGTATTTACAGGGTAACAAAACAAAACAATCTTATTTAAGTTGTACAAAAGGAGTTTCCAACCTATGTGACGAACCTCTTCTGCATTTACCAAAATTCAGACATATGTTGTACAGATGCTACGTTTGGGTATGAATTCTAAATTCATGCATGCAGCTTTGACTGTTGTAGAGTTAAATATGCATGTTGTAGAGGGTTTTTTTTTTCAGAGAGGAAGGGAATACAGTAAAGTTCTACTTAAGATATTTATCTTAAGTGTAAGAACTTTTTAGTTGATTGAGGCTACAGCCCTGAAAACACCCTCTTAAGAAAGAATGTTGAATGCACTATTGAAAACAGTAAACTTTGCTTCTGAGAAAGTGTACATAGGATGTGTTACACATTTAAATTTTGTATACTACTGAAATTATATCATTGGTGCCTTCTTGTGATACTGAAGGAAGTGTGAGAGCTTTAGAAAAACTT